GAGGCTGTGTGGGACTTCCTCCCATCGGCATACCAATATCAGGATACGCATCGAAAGGAATGAAAAAATTAAGACGTGATCACTTGCACTAAAGACTCACGAAACGCACCGAGTTTTCACTTTGAACTCTTTTCGAAGGCGCTTTCGCGCTACTGTTCGCTGCGGCGGGTGCGGCTTATATAAGGTGCGGCTTATAAGCCGGAAAATAGGGTATAAAGCTGAATGTCTGTTTGTCTGTATGTCTATCTGTCTGTCTGTCTGTCTGTACGTATGTTCCGAATAGAAAATTCCATTTCTGAACCGATCCGAATCAAACTTGGCACACATACACTTCGGGCCCCGGCGGGTGTCATAGGCTACTTTTCGTCATTGATCGATTTGGTATACACCAAGCTGGTACCACAACGGGTATAACTGTTTATTAGATAGTAGCGGAGCAGCCGCTGACTATTAACAGTAAATATGCGGAACAGCCGCTGACGATAGTGGTATTAATCGAACCAACACCAGAACTGAGTATTCAGGTCCTTTTATGCCACTATTTTGGGCGTGGATAACCTGAATGCTCACTTCTGGCAAATAACAGTATCATACAGAATCATAGATTGCCTACATGAAAGTAGGCGACGCCAAGTAGACTATCAAGCACTGTGGAGGGGTGACCTGGCGGCTTAAGTGGTCAGTGAACAGTAATGTCTGTCAACGACAAACTAGTGGATACTGAATATAGCATACAATATGACTCTGCAATGGTAAAGGTCGTAGATTCGCAAATAATCTACGACAATCGATATCGATTTTATCGATTTTTTGCAAAATTTGAGCTACGGGGCTGGGAGTTGGCACAGGGGGGTAATCGAGCATGCTGATTACGAATATAATAATGACAGGGCCGGGCGGAGCCGGATAAGTCAACTAGTCGCTATATATTATCATTAACCATAACCATTGCAAATGACGAAAGTAAAAGGTTAGCTGCTTCACCTTACCGCTAGCAACATAAGCTAATTCCTACCATAACATCGGGCTACGGCGAAAACAAGATACAGTGCGCAAAAGAACTAAGTCTAACTTTCACCTGCTATATTAAAGAGGTTCTACAAACATGATATAGCGAGACACCACAGGGTATGCAACCTCGTCACCGCCTTGTTATATGAAAACCGAATGAGACGGAACCATCAAGATGCAACTGGGTCAAAATGTTGACCGGGGCTGAGTTTGCTGTAGACCACTTTTGACAGTGACCTCTAGCCAGTTGCTCTTTCCTCCTCTAGTAAATTTGACAATAAAGATCACAATAACTCTGATGCACTACACCTCACTTGAGAAACTCTAGAACTTCAGACCTACAAGATGAACTTAAACCTCTTGGTCACACAAGAACACAGTGTAAAGAGCTAACATAGACTAAACTGGTACTGGAGGGTGGAGGACATTAGGTCGCCGAAAAAGGGCGGTCCCCGCGGTCATTTGCGACAAATACGCACCCTTGTACATGCGCGGACATGCGTTCCTGCAGGGAATCCGCGCGGGACTCTTCCAAATTCGGCGACCTAATGTCCTCCACCCGGTACTGGAAAAAGGAGCTCCGTCAAATTCATAACTGCACGTAAGCAGAACGAGAGACGATTGAGCGCTCTAAACACAATTCCTGCTCCAATCCAAAAGTAATCGTTCCTGCGGGCGAATCTACGGTCCCTCATCATGCCGCACACATCCCCGCTCGAAAGGGAATACAGATTCGATTGAAAGCTTCATATCCTGAATCTCCGATATCTGGATTTCACGCTCGCTACCAATCCATGAGTACTCCACTCTTACACCGTTCACTATGAATATAAACAGGAGCGAGAAATTGTACAGTCGAGTATAGGCTGCTGCATGACGAAGGCGCAATACCTTCGGGCGCGAACGCGGCTTTATTAGCCGCAGAGCGCATGAGGTGTGGGATCTACGACGGTGAGGATACGCGCGCGTCGCGTTCGCGCCTGCTCACCTAATATCGCCATTGCGCCTTCTCATGCAGCAGCCTTTAGATTTAGCGGTAAATATAGTGTGCTTGCACAAAAGGTGAAATGCGGTGAAATTGGCGCGTGAAGAAATAGTTTCGACTGTGACGCCGGCCAATTGCGCGCGCAGGATACCCGCGGTACTGACGTGGCTACTTGTTCACGCGCAAATTTAACCGCATTTCACCTTCTGTGCAAGCACACTATATTTACCGCTAAATCTACTCGACTGTATAAGCCGCACTTTCTAGCTTTTTGCATGATTCCCTGATAATTTCCGGCCAACCGCCTTTTCTTCAAAGCCATTTTTCTTTCTTCGAATTTGGAAAAATTGCGCAGTTGTACTAATTATCAACTAACAGTGCTAAGCAATATGATGCTGATAAGAGCAGATGAAGTAGGTGCGAATGTTTGCGAATTGTTTGTTTTGTTTGTTTTTCCACATTTGCGAATCGCTAGTCGAAAGCGCGGTTTATTGGAAATATCAATATTTTAATAACATTTTCTCTTATCAGCAACATGCTTGGCACTGTTGGGTTAGACAATCAGTAGAACTTTGAAATTTTCTCGTCAACTTCGAAAAAAGAAAAATGACTTTGGAGAAAAGACGGTCGTCGCCGGGGATCATCAGGAGATTACGCAGAAAAATGAAAAAAGCGGCTTAGGTAGACGCCAGACTAAGCGACTGTTTTGTTCAGCTGCAAAAGGCGCACAGAATTACCGTTAATTCTGCGCTCAGTTGTTTGCTTCAGCTGCAGATCCCGCGCAGTTAACGTCATGCGCGAATTATGTCGCCGAATTTCGAAGAGTCCCGCGCGGATTCCCTGCAGGAACGCATGGCGCATGTACAAGGGTGCGTATTTGTCGCAAATGACCGCGGGGATGGCCATTTTCGGCGACATGTAGTCCTCTACCCATTCTGCGCGCCTTTTGCAGCTGAACAAAAGTCGCTTAGTCTGGCGCCTACCTTATACAGCTTCTCGCTATTGTTGAATGCGTTTATATTGAAGAATAGAAGAAGAATCCACGGATAGGTAGACAGCGTGAAATCCAGACGTCGGAACTTCGGGATATGAAGTTTTCCATTGAGCTGCGATTTCCTCCCTGGCCGGGATGTTAATGCATGCGGTTCCAAGGGCAATGCGCACCTTAAAGGTTATCCGCAACGCTGAATCCGAAAATCCACATTAGAAAGCGCGAAAACGGCGAGAACATACGTTCTTCAAAGCCGTACATTTTGTAATTCGACAGTCCCAAGGTCGACCAAGCAGAGACGCAGAGTCGCTGCGGGACCCTACATTTTAACTGTGGCGGCATGCGTACTCTGTCGCATAGCCGGAATTCGGACAGCTCGGCGCATCCCGCCCCAGGCTCTAAGCTTCCCCAGTTTCCGGTCGTTTTTCTTCTTTTAGGTTGAGCGTTATGACATTGCACTTGCGCGATATTGTGTCTGAGGGGGACCACTTCTCGCATGGAACTGAAATCTCAAAACTCCCATCTTGCCCGGACACGCCTTAAAGGCAGCGGCTCGGCAAATCTCAACCTAGTCAAATTGCGCTTACCTGGGGTTTTTCAATACGCTGGTCCCGAAAATCCACTTTTGAAAGCTTGAAAACGGCGAAAATGAGCGTTTTTTAATGTCCTTCCCCTTGATGTTGGACGAGTGGAGCGAGGCCGATGACGCTAAATCGTGGCAGGATCCAATGGCTATAGCGTTGCGACGGGCAGCCTCCAATTGTGAGAAGGAAATTGCCAACTCATCCAGATGCGTGTAAGATTGGCCTGCGCGTGTAAGTTCGAGGGCAATTTTCTCGGCAGGGAAAGTATGCTGTGCAACCGGGATTGCACTATTTTTATAGTTGGGCGATAAGGAACCTACCGCGTTAAAATCCCGAGTTGTTGGATTTTGCCGATCCACTGCCTTTACGGTCAGAAGCGCGAGAGCAAGGGAGCAGCAATGGGTAGAGGACTATATGTCGCCGAAAAAGGGCGGTCCCCGGGGTCATTTGCGACAAATACACACCCTTGTACGTGCGCGGATAAGCGTTCCTGCAGGGAATCGCGCGGGACTCTTCCAAATTCGGCGACATATAGTCCTCCACCCAGCAGCAATTATAGAGTGGGATATATCAATGACTTCCACAATCACATTGAAGCGGAGCATTGCGGACATTTTATCATAGGTAAACTTGCTAAAAATGCGCATTAAAACGTTGCTTCTTTTGATGTTTCGCTACAGCGGTGTGGCCAAGGGGGGCATGCAACTTCATTGGAACGCAGTGTCGTTTCCGCAATTTTGCCCTCTTCGGAGTCCAACAAGTCTAAACACACAATTAGTGCTTTCTGCAGTTACTGGGCTGTGACCGAAGAGTTTGGTCGGAAGGTCACTTAATGTATTTTCGACTTTTGCACCGTAACGTAGTCTGTTATAAGGTAGTGCACCAGTCTTGGTCACACCGCTGACACAAAACCATCAGAATGGTATCAGCGATACCAAGATTCGTCGATAGTCGAATTCACCACACTTTGAGCTGGCGCTTTTCCGGTCCTGGAAGTCAATGAAACCAATGATTGATATAAGCCCATTAGCCATGCTGCACTAAGAATCAAGAACGGTTTGCGCACATATGATAAGCGAGTTCGGATTTGTTCCCTCACTGAATCTATGAATCTCCAAGATGGGATAGAACACAAGCAAAACATGTTCATCACATGTGTAAGGCGTTCTTGAGTCTCCTAATCTTAAAATCACGGATCACACCGCAGTTACTACAAAGGCTCTCGTGATTGCACAGACTACCTGCAAAACTACTCGATCATACTCACGCGTAACATAAGCACATATAACTGCACGCTGGCAACGATCCAACCGTAGCGCGTGGTTCAGTGCCGCATGATCTGTACACGGATATTCCTTCCTTGAAGCCATTCATAATTTTTTTTTTGAAACGCAGAGTCTATCTATACTTATGTGATCTTTTGATTCATAGGTTATTGACGACTTGGGCGGAACCTGGAGCGATATCTTATGAGCCAGGAAAGTGAGGTTCTGGTGATGCCGTCAATTACTTCTGATATCTTTCCATTGGCAATATCCGTATTTTGCAGTCAAATGAGAGTCCAGTTGTTAATCCAAACTTCACATATAACGCTGCCGAACTTCCCAGCGATTATACTTCAGATTGGATCTGTGAGCTAGCTTTAGAAAACTCAGGTTATATCGTAGTTCTCTGAACACATCAAAATCATATGCTAGAACTATTTCAGATCGCATCATGAAGTCTCATGAGCATGACACAATATACCTGACTTTAGAAAGTGTGCAATACATCTTCACAGTTTGCATCCGATTACGTCTACCTTCGGATATCCGATACCTAGCTGTCCTGATTTTTTCAAGGTAATCCGTTACACTCTTGTATCGTCAGCTCCAGCGATGTTCCCATAAATAAAGTCTTTCTCAGGAGAAAGTTGTCTTTAAGGCCTCGGCCAGAGTTCACGCGATTTGATTTCGCGATTGATCGCGATAAGACAACTGTAACAATATCCTTGCATGCCGATCTTCTTGCAACTCGGTTGTGATTTTTCCAACACGACTAATTGTGACTAACTATCACAACCGAAATACAAGAAGATCGGCATTCACTCGTAACATTTGTCGCGATTGAATCGTGACGATCAAATTGCGTGAATTCTGTCCGAGGCCTAAGGCCCTGGGCATAGCTCACGTGACCAAGTCGCCGCGATTTCCGATCGCGAAGACTGGCGAAGTGGCGACTAGAAGCGACGACTGAGTCGCTCATTGGTCGGAGAGGCATGCATACCTCTGACGCGATTTCATGTACTTGCACTCCATGCAAAAATACTCAGAAATTTGCAAAAGAAACCTAGCAAAATCAGGCAAAAACAGTCATAACTCGCAAATAGCAAATACATCAGTGAAGTCAAAAACACGGTTTAGAAATCACTGTCGCCCCGTCGCTCGCCGCAAATGGACGGCGCGACATCGCGCCGATTTCGGCAAAATTGCGACGATATCGCCAAGTGAGCTACGAACGGCGAAAAGTGTGTAGCAATCCGTCGCGCCGCGCACTCACACACTCACCAGCGTGGCGTAGAACACTTGTCCAACTTAGCAAGACGCGACGCGAAGAGATCGCTTGCGAGTGAGCGTAGCGCCGTGGAAACGGCTGTTTGACTTGTAGCAAACACAGAATCAACAATCAGATTTATCCGTATGACATATGGAGAGCATGATAAGCGGGATAACGGGATAGGTCACGATACTAGTCATAGGACGTGCCGGTGGGAGGATACAGAGGCAGTTGTTGGCGAGGCAACATCAAGAGAACACATTCAAAGTCCTGTGGAAGTTCTGGCAGGCCAAAGTACTGCGGAACCTCTGGCATTTTTCGGAAGTTCCGCAGCGCTTTGTAAAAAGTCTCGCGGAAGTTCCGGTTTTCAACCAGTTTGACATGAAAATCCCGCGGAAGTTCCGATTTTCAACGTTTTCATTTTTGCCATAATGAACAAAATCCTGCGGAACTTCTGCAAATTTGGCTTGTCCTGCGGAAGTTCCGGTGATTTGTCTGAATAAGTCAGAAGGAGTATGGTGTTCTGTTTCATGTTTGATGAGCAGGTCTTCGTTGAAAGATCAGGCCAAAAATTAGGAAAAATGGTATACCAAAAATGCATAAGATTCCAATCAATTCAGATACATAACAGGAGCAAGAAAAAGTACACTGAAACCTCTTACAAATATTTTGCAGCTCATACTTGCACATATAAGAAAACATTTTGCTAATTATTGTAAGGTTATAAGACAGAGCACACAAATTAATTACTTCTGGACGGTGGAAAATGGTACCCAGATAATAAGGGACTTAGCAACAGCTAAGGGAAACTTGAACATTTATTCTGCGGATTTCTCAAGTCTTTTTACTAGTCTACCACATAACGTGGTAAAGTCTAATCTCAAGAAACTTTTAACCCTGTGTATGAGAGGCTTTAAGTATATCAGAGTATGTAATAGAAACATATCTTATGTCAATACGGTTACACTACATGGAAAATATTTTCAAATGGAGGATTTACTCTACATGATAGACTCCCTGCTAGACTCTAGTTACTTGCGTTTTGGAGGAGTCGTTTACCGACAAATTAAGGGTATTTTTTTTACTAACAAGGAAAGGATACTTGGTGACTCCGGCCATTTGGTATGCGATGTATACCATAAGGTGCATCTCGAAACGCTGATTCTAAATCTGTGCTCGAAATCTGCGAAACGATTATCTGAAGGCATTTATGAACTTTTTTTCGCAAAAAATTTGCCTACTTTTAGGTAGTTAAGATTACCCAATCTGGTCTATTTTACCGTTTGTAGCTATTGAGGAGAATTTTGAAAGGTGTACGTTGTATTTATACCTATCTAAATCTCAGCATCTGAAGAGAAAAGAAAATTTTTTTATTAATGATTTTCACCCTTCGCAGTAGGGCAATTCATGAAAAAAATAATTATAACTCCATCCAAGTCCTCGTTTCGCAGATATGGAAGATAGTATTCGAACCAGCATTAATAGGCGCACTTTTTGATATACAAACCATTAATGGCCGTGGTCACCAAATATCCTTCCATCCTTCCCTCTTAAGTCGAAAAGAACATCGAAGCTAAATTTAATTTTTGATGCGTCCTTTAAATGTTTACCCCTCATTGACGTTCCCGTTTCCTGGGACGTTGTCTGGATTGTTGCGCTTATTGTTCTGAGCAACAATCGCTCAACTGGACAAAAATCGCTGCGAAAGCACTGAAACAGAACAAATTAAAGAAAAACGCACTTTTTACGATTTTTCGCGTAAGGGCTGGGTGGTTGTTTGCGTCATGAACAGAAGCGAGATCTATAGAATCTACGAAAAAACCGCGTGAAAAGAGGTAAACTAGGAAACCAATCTTCAATCTTCGAAAACAATATTTTTGCCTTATTTCTCGACCAAATGTGGTTTTGGGACGTTGTCAGCGTGAAAATAGAGATCAAGAGCTTCAAAATGATATATAGCTTGCTATAATTTGGTCCGAAACAACAGAGAAAAGGGTACCAGAGCCAAATGCCCCGCGCCCCGCGTTTGAGGTAGCGAGGTAGCGCGCAGCGCGCGGAGACGCAGACGAGCCGCGGAGACAGACCAGAGCCGACGGGGCATTTGGCTCTGTTCGTAGATCTCCGCGGGGTCTCAACGAAGCCCTGTAACATTATATATCATCCTGATCGTCATGACACGACGAGGAGAACTGGCAGCGTCCCAAACTTTGGAAATCATTAACGACATAGACCAGTGTTTTCGTGCGCGACTCTCTACGCAAGTTTTAAGCGCAGTTTCTCGTTTTCATTTAACTCCAACAGCTTTCCTAAACTTCTGAAACTCGATTTGGTCAAATAAGAGATTAACTGAGAAATGTATCCTGAATTCCGGCGAAAATATCACAGAAACCTTCTTTTTAACGTAAAAGAAGGCTATAAAAAGCAAATTCTTGGTTTCGCTGGGATAACCTAAAGATATTATTCCCTATATTTGCTTCATCAACATTCGTTCCGATATAGTCAGGATAATAACATCCGGGCGAAACCCCGGATGACTTCTGTTTTTTTTTCCAGGTGAAGGTCGTGTCCCCTCATAGCTCTTAAAGTGAAGGTTACCAGAGTAGTGGCTCTGTATCGAGGGTGTGGTCCGGAGCATAGGATGAAAGGTAGCAAAGATGCGCTCGCATACTCCGTCACCTTCGTGATGGTAAGATATTGAAAAATAGCGACCTATGCGTAGCAGACGTCCGATCTCGGAGACAAGTTCACCTTTGAAATAGGTGCGTTATGGAAATGAGCTGGGTCGTGACACTAAACTTCAGAATACATTCTGTAAGGATTGCATGAGCCACTTTAACAGTGGTACAGTAAGGATTTTGAAAAGGGTCTATCAATGCAAGAACATATTTATTATCTGACTCCGAGGTGGTGAGCGGACCAGTTAGATCCATGTTAACCTTGAAGATGGCTGATGGAACTACCGGAAGTGAACGTTCTTGATTAACGGCTTTGCCCATTTTCGCTGACAAAAATCACACGTACCTGGTAAGGGTATAAATCTGCTCAGACATATGAGGCCTAAAGTTAAGGTTTTACGCCAGTTGAAATGCCCACCAGCAGTAGTGCTAGAGTGCATGGCTAGGAAGACAGGTTCGCATGAACTTTCGGGCAAGAACAGTCGTTCTACGGCAGAGTTCGGCTTATACGGAGATGGTACAGGCAGCCATTGAATCGGTGCGGCAGTTCTCGGCCAGCGCAGGCCATGACGGTTTTTCTGACTCTGGATCTCTGCTTAGAAACCCCCAGTTTCAAGAAAGGACATGATATGTTTGAGAGTTGGGTCCTTCTTCTGTTCAAGTAAGGCATCATAGGGTTGACCTCGAGCGGTGATACAAGATAGATAGGTGTGATCTGAGGGGAAGTTCGTATGGGCAAGCAACGGGAGAATTACAATGTCGTCAGTTTCAGGAGTGTTGTCCTGGAAGGTAGAATTCACTGATCTAGAGAGGCCTAGCAACCACGTTTGACCACCCTTTCAGGATTTTCACATTGTAGCTCTGCAATTCGACCACCCATCGCGCTAAATTGTCTGGGTTTTGTTATGTTTTAGCAAACAGATGAGAGGACGATGGTCCGAGAATATGCGCGTGAGATGCCCGTAGATGGTTGCTTTGAAGAAGCGAAGTGCACTGAACATCGCGAACAGTTCGATATGAGCGGGGGACCATTTTTGTTGAGATGTCGATAAAGACTTGTTATAGTAATCTACCGCGACTAAGGTATTGTCGTCGTGAGGCGAGAGCTCTTCCAACCTCGTTGGAAGAGCGCGGCTCCTACCGCTACTTGACTACCGTCGACGTGTAGCACAAAGTCTTTATTTTGAGGGAAGGCTAAGCAGGGTTTGGCAATCAACTTATCGCGCAGCTGCTGGAAAGCTTCCTGCTGTCGGTTGCACTAAACAAATTTCGAATTTTTAGTGAGCTCGTATAATGGCGCAGCAATTTCAGCGAAATTTTGTATAAATTTCCTAAAGAAATTGGCCATGCCTATGAAGCGCTTGACTTCCTTTGCATTCGTTGAAATCTGAAGGTTCTTGATAGCCAGAAGGTTCCTGTCCGAGGGGTAGTAACTATTACCCCAGATTTGATGGCCCAGGAAAGGTACCTTCGAGCGAGCTATGTCAATTAGCTTCTTATCCGAGACCTTGATGTTCAAGTCGCGAAACCGGGGGAAAACTTTGCGTAAAGAATGTAAATGACTAGGGAAATCTTTGTCGAATACCACGATGTCGTCAAGGCATGCGAGACAGTTTTCCTCTCCCGAGAGA